ATACAAAGATGGCAGAAGCTGTCCAACTTCTTGGGTAACCAAGCCATTTAGTTTGAGGTTACACCTGTGGGTTCTCATGGAAGTTTGAGGGATTTATTTCGAGTTGCAGGGAGCTCACATCAGAGGAAAAACAATCAAACCAACTGTTCGGCCACTTGTATGTGGGCCGGCACCGAGACCTAGACGGGAGGAAGGTCTGACAGCATGCCAGCGATGTCTGGTAGAAAGTGCCAGTGCACTGGTATTTTAAACAGCAGGGCGCCAAGTATTTTTCAACCCCAGCCTGGATGGCCAGGAGACCATTGGCCAGACATTTAACCGCTGATCAACAATACGGTAGGGTATAGTCTCTTTGTGGAAGCGAATCCGCAACAGGACATTTAGAAAACGGGTGCACAATTTGGTTTTCACGAGAGACTCGGCTGAATCTCTTGTTTATGATATTCTACAACTGAATGTGCAAATGAGTGTATTTCTCGAAAACAGTCCAATTTGGGTTCAAGTAGAACTTAAGGTTGACGGAAATTCGGAAACCTGATGAGCCCCAAGAAGGGCGAAACCGGTCGTGGGCTGTCGAAGAGTTTTAAGCAACCTTATGAGTAATTTCCTTTATGAAAATATACTGGGATGTCTCGAATATCGTGCCAACTGAATCATGAGGTAGCCTGTTTACAGCACATTCAGTTGTAGAGTATCATAAACGAGAGATTCAGTTGAGTCTCTTGTGAAAACCAAATTAGCTTATGGCATCTTGCAAAATAATATGGTCAACATAGTACCTGTCACATGTTTCCTGTTCTGGTTCTATGAAATATATCTTTATTCTGGATAGGAGAGCTTGATCGCAATGGGGTCACGTTATAGCTCTACCCTTATCAACAGTTGCCTACTTAAAAAAATGGACGTTCACGTCTAACTGTGAGGGATTGGCAGTTTTGTTCTAAAAAGTGTTCCATTGATTGCTTCCAAATTTAGAGTACACTTTCAAAAGGTTTGAGAGAATTTTGCAAAAACGCCGGCGAATGGCTGTAAATATATCAACAATGCCATATGGTTCGACAGAAAAGTACGTGGCATTTGCCAGTAGGGGAGAATTACCGTGCACGAAAGACAACACGGAAGTGGAAGGCCCATCGTCGATGTTGGGGGTGACAGACAACTCATTTGAGACCAGTCTAATCCGCCAGTCTATCCCCGATTTTTAGTACTTTGTTCGGAAGACCAATCAAGCCGTTTGCGTCTAAAATGCCTAGGGATGCACTATACTTCAGTTTCTACTGATTCGGTTTGTTTCTGTGACATAATCTGAAACGAAAAAACTAGAACTGGATGAGTGGTTAGGTGAGCACACAGTAACCAGGTTAGAAAAAAGAAGTCAGCCTTGGTATGTCCCATGATTCACAACTCAGTACATATAGCTGGAACTGGCACCCCTAACAAAAGGCTAAAGTAAATAGTGCACTAGTAAATCTGAGCTCAGATCCTCATACATGCGTGCAAACCAGCTATTTATTTTGTTGCATCCTCTTGAACAATGATGTGCGCGGGCTGGAACAGTATCGGTTCGCAAATCTATCAAGCTTTCCGGTGCGTAGAGTCCTGTGATGAGTTGTTCACTTTTATTCCCCCATTTTTAACATAGGCTGACCAGTAGTCGCGGGAGTTTACGCGGTCCAAGTGAAATAGCTCGACAAAGATATAATTGTCTGATGGATTTTTTCTATCAATTTTACGGGGATCAATTAGTTTAACTAGCTGAGTCGGGTAGTGTAAGTGCATATTCTTCCTGAACAGCTGAAGTAACAATGTTAGTGCGCATTCAGCTGTTCACCTTTTGAGCGCAACGGTTCAACGATTAAGTCCGTTTCAAAAAACGATCGATAGAATTTCCTTGCTTATCCCAGGTTAATGGCTGGTATCCAAAGCGGTCAACGGTAATGAACCAACTGGATGCCAACGCCTAGTCGGAAAAACACAGACGGTTTGCGCGGAGCCCAGTGTTGCGTTGTGTTCAGCCCTGGATGCCGACGTAGATTGAGAGGAGGCAAGTCGTTTAACCATCTTACTGAGACTTGGTGTGAGATATCAGCCAGCCTAGACATGACAGTATACCAATGTGTGCCGGCACCAGTGACTCGTTCAATATCGTGAAACCATCGACATCTATCAGTTCACTTAGTTGGCAGCGTAGTACCACATCTTTACCAGTACACCACCATGCAATTGTAACCGGGGACCGTCCATTAATGTTCTTGGGTGTTGATGGGCTCCCTACAGGTAATCTACGAATCGTCCGCTTAATGATGCTGTTGACTTTAGGATGACATTGCCCGGTGGATGCAGGTTAGGAAGCGGATCATATATATATATATATA